GTGAACGTATATTAGACCCACCAGCTGGCGTGTATTAGACATGTGAAGTCATTTGTTTACTCTTGAACATCGACAAAAATTTAACATTTTTTTAATATATTACATTTCTGTAATATATCTTCCATTCTATGAAATGAGACCAAGAAATCACAAATACAACCATAAAAACATACAAAAAAACACTGCAAAGTCACTGTTTTAATCAAAAATTATGGTCTAAGTTTTTTTCTCTCATTTTGCACTGTGTGCTGCAGGATTTGTTTTATGTGGTGCACACATACCACATAGATGTATTCTCTCATATCTAGGCCCAAATTTACTTATCACAGCTTATCAGAGTGAGCTGAGCTCATGGTGTAGATCTACGGTTTGGACCCTCAACGTAAAGCCGTAGATCTACGACATGGACCCTGAAAGGGTTAAATATACAAGACATACACTCTTATTATTTTGCCTACTACATATACAGAACATTAAACTCCACTGTAAACCCTCCCCTAAAATTACTCCTTGACAGTTACAACAGAATGCACAGGCACAATACAAGGCATAAGGCACGTTTCAACATCCCTCGAGTCAGACTCTCACTATACAAAAACGCTATGCACATAAAAGGCCCGAAGATCTGGAACTCGATACCGGAACAGGTCAAGGATCCCCTGACAGCTTATAAATTTAGGACTTTGCTAAAAAATCATCTTATCTCACAATATTAACCAAATCAACCAAACATCTGCTAACTAGTTTTATTATGTGACCTCTAGGCTCTTAATTCTGCCAATCCATAAAATCATCTTATTTCTCAATATTAACCAAATCTGCCTAAACATCTGTTAATTAGTCTTATCATGTGACCTCCTGGCTTTTAATTTTGCCATTCCATAAAATATTACCACTTGCACCATTACTTGTAAAGTAGATTTTGTGTGCAATTTCAAGCTTATTTTACTGAACCCTACTCACTTGTACTAAGTTTGAATAAGATTGTATTAAATTTAAATAAGATTGTAAAACAGCAAACCACTATTACTTGTCTAGTTTTAAGTATAGTTACTATGTACACTAGTTTTAATTAATTACTATGTATTAGGATTAGTTTGCCCGAAATGCCTTGGCATGATAGTGGCTATCTTTGTACTTAGCAAATCAAAATTGTAATTGCACATTGTAACCTTTACAAAGAAATAAACTTTACTTTACTTTACTATATGGTGCCACTTATCTGCACACACATAATATCTTCAAAACAAACAAGGGTATTTTTCTGGAAATAAAGACACTGGTAGCAATGAATTCCTCTATTAAGATGTTTCACCTAAAGCTTGGCTTTATTAAATATGTAGGAATGAGCTAATAAGCATATCAAAAGAGGGGAAGGGCAGTTAAGAAATCGATATATTCAATTAAAGAGAGAAATAAAAAAAGGGATAAGAAAAGCAAAAAGGGATTATAAGGCTAAGGTCGCAAGGGATTCGAAGACTAACCCAAAAGGGTTCTTTCAGGTATACAGAAGTAAGATTAGAGACAAGATAGGCCCACTTAAGAGAAGCTCAGATCAGATCACTGACAGTGATAGGGATATGTGTGAAATTTTCAATTCTTACTTCCTCTCAGTCTTTACTCAGGAAGATACTAGCGAAATTCCAGAAATAATTAATTATGTAGAACAGGACGATAATAAACTACGCACGATTGCAGTAACTAGTGACATGGTCCTCAGACAAATAGAGAAATTAAAACCTAACAAATCCCCAGGCCCTGATGAATTGTTTGCAAGGGTTTTAAAGGAATGTAAAGAAGAACTTTGCAAACCTTTGGTTAATCTTTTCAATATATCACTACAAACTTCCATAGTGCCTGATAAGTGGAAAATGGCAAATGTAATACCTATTTACAAGGCAGATGACAGGTCCTTAGCTTCAAACTGTAGACCAATAAGCCTTACCTCCATAGTTGGACATTTTATGGAATCAGTAATTGCCGAGGCAATTCGTAGCCATCTTGATAGGCATAAATTGATAAATGAATCTCAACACGGTTTTACTAAGGGGAATTCCTGTCTTATGAATTTACTAACTTTGAGGAGGTAGATCATGGTAATGAATATGATATTGTGTATATGGACTTCAGTAAGGCTTTCAATAGAGTTCCACATCAGAGACTTTTGAGGAAACTTAAGGCACATAGAATAGGAGGAGAAATTTTTTCCTGGGTATAGGCGTGGTTAACAAATTAGGCAGCAAAGAGTTTGCATAAATGGGGAGAAATCAGAATGGGGGCACGTCTATCTACCTTGATGAGTGGAACTGTCTACCTAGTTGGGTTATTGAGGCTAGGACTTTGGGTAGTTTCAAATTTAGGTTGGATAAATATATGAGTGAGAGGGGTTGGATTTGAGTGGGACTTGCAAATGAGTGGATAGAGTTACTAGACCTTATTTCTTGAGTAGCATTGATAATTGGTTTGGGCAAATGTTTTGCTAGTGGGATGGATTGTAAAGGGCCTGCCTAGTATGGGCCAACAGGTCTGCTGCAGTGTTCCTCCTTTCTTATGTTCTTACGTCACAAGTGGTGTTCCACAGGGGTCAGTGTTGGGCCCCTTGTTGTTCACAATTTACATAAACGATATAGATGAGGGAATAAATAGCGACATAAGCAAATTTGCTGATGACACCAAAATAGGCCGTCCAATTCATTCTGTTGAGGACATTAGTGCACTCCAGAATGATTTGAATAGACTGATGCAGTGGCCGGAGAAGTGGCAGATGCAGTTTAATATAGACAAATGCAAAGTTCTAAATGTTGGACAGGACAATAACCATGCCACTTATAAACTGAATAGTGTAGCTCTTAATACTACTGATTGCAAAAAGGATTTAGGAGTTCTGGTTAGCAGTAATCTGAAACCAAGACAACAGTGCATAAGTGTTCGCAATAAAGCTAACAGTATCCTTGGCTTCATATCAAAAAGTGTAAATAATAGAAGTCCTCAGGTTGTTCTTCAACTCTATATATCCTTGGTTAGGCCTCATTTAAGTTATTCCGCACAGTTCTGGTCACCATATTACAGAATGGATATAAATGCACTGGAAAACATACAGAGGAGGATGACAAAGTTGATCCCATGTATCAGAAATCTTCCCTGTGAGGATAGATTGAAGGCCTTGAAACTGCACTCTCCAGAAAGGTGTAGAAGTAGGGGAGGATATGATTGAGATGTATAAATGGAAAGCAGGAATAAATAAAGTGGATGTAAATAGCGTGCTGAAAATATCCAGCCAAGACAGGACTCACAGCAATGGCTTCAAGTTGGAAAAGTTCAGATTCAGGAAGGCTATAGGAAAGCACTGGTTTGGTAATAGAGTTGTGGATGAGTGGAACTAACTCACGAGTACCGTCATAGATGCTAAGACGTTGTGTAGTTTTAGAAATAGGTTGGATAAATACATGAGTGGGTGTGAGTTGGACCTAACTAGCTTGGGCTACCAGGTCTGGTGCCGTGCTCTTTCCTTAAGTGGAAGTGACCAGACTAGGTGATCATTGTTCTAGGCCAGGGGGTGGCATGGACTTGCTTCGCATGGGTCAGTAGGCCTTTTGCAGTGTTCCTTCTTTCTTATGTTCTTATAAGACATGCAAGCACCCTGAGATCAGGGTGCTCTCATGTCTTATAAGGTGATGTAGGTATCTGCTCTTTTTCTGTATACCTGATAAAAGCCTGTATATGAAATGTTATAATGAAAGCATTTCCTAGTCTCAGAGTCTTTAATTCTACTTGTTAGCTTTTACCACTGTTTACCAAGTGGAGAGTCCTTTTTATGATAGCCGAACCAGAATTTAGATGCTTGTGGCATATGTTTAAGTGAACTTTCATAAATATCACTTTAAGGCATTTGAAATATCCATGGTGAAACTTATGCCTTTAGCTACTCCTCACTGATGTAGATGCTTGAGGGTACTAGGTATCAAATATACATAGAATTATTATTTTGGGATGCATGGAGAGATGGTGATATAATGAAATAGCAGTTGTTCGTTATGACCATTTCAGGTAAGGAAGTGGATTGTATGTTGGGCTATTTTATTTGCACTTGGTATTACAGTAACTTGCCATGTGAAGTAGAAAATGTCATGTTTCTCTCAGTGATTGTTCATCATTACAACTGCTGCTAGGCTTACTTTTTGTTTTGTCGACTGTTCATGTTTTTTTCTGAAATTAAAAGCCATCTTGATCAAAAAAATTTTAAACTATGGAATTTTATAATTCTTCATAAAATGTTATGGTTTTACTGAAAAACGTAACATAAAATGTTATGTAATGTTGTAGATTTACCGACAATATGTAAAGTAAAAGGACACAAGTGCAACTAATTTTGGACTTTTTATTGTGAAACGTTTGCTTCCGGAGTTTTATCAAGCCATTACAAACAATCATGGACACAGGGGTATATAAAGGCTCAGGTGAGGTGAATACAGTACCTCACTAGTATTCACTCACTCTGAGCCTTTATTTACCTTGTGCCCATGTATTGTTTTGTATGGCTTGATAAAAGCCCCCTTGGAGACGAAACGTTTCACAATAAATGTCACATTAGTTGCACTTGTGTCCTTTTACTTTACATAAAATGTTATGGTTTTGTATATTAGCACTGCTGTCACTGTGAAGGTAAACATTACACAATAACAGCAGTGTTAATATACAAAAACTGCTCTACATGGATAGTTTTTTATAGCTGTATTTTTACATCAACGTTTTTTATGGTAATATGCAGATAGTGAATTAGCCCTTATTGTTATAAAAGGTTTCTTTCTGTAAACTGTATCTGCTTTCTGTTGTTAATATACTTGTCTGTTAATAAGTGTAGATAGGACTTATCTTATTGGACCCTTATCATTGAAGCAGTGGCAGTTTATCAAAAATGTACTTCATGTGAAAAAACAGCATAGCATACACTGGAAAGATTTAAATGAATTCACTCCTATATGTCATCTTACACTTTCAAGCAGGATGTGACAGTTGAAACCCCCCAGGGCATCCCTTATGAGGGTAAGCGCATTGCAACAGAAAAGATTTGTGGAGTGTCCATCCTAAGAGCAGGAGAAACAATGGAGAATGCTCTTTGTGAAGTTTTAAAAGATGTCCGAATTGGCAAGATTCTCATTCAGACAAACCTAGACACTGGAGAACCTGAGGTAAGAAAAATAGGAGCTATTCATCACCTGTAGCATTTAACCCTTCCACTGTCCAGACCTCAAAATTAATATTGCTCTGTGTTCACTTTAAAAACAAAATTCTGAAATGGTAGAAAATCTTCTTCTGAAGGATGACACCAAAGGTTAAAAAAATTGATAGAAAACTTATGGAATTATGTACAGTGGTCCCTCAATAATCGTCCGGCCTGAAAGTCGTCCATTTCGGAAATAGTCCTGTTTTTTCGTCAAAATATTGGCTCGCAAATGGCCCGGTAACTTGCTAATAGCCCTTCGTCCCGGACGCGTACTCACGCTCTGAGCCGCCTCGGCCTTTCCTTCCCAGCCAGTGTGCCATTGTTTACCAGTGAGCGACGGTCCCCTCACGTGCTCCAGCGAAATATTTCATAATGTTCCATTTACAGTGGAACCTCAAATTTCGAACTTAATCCGTTCCAGGAGTAGTTCTAAATTCGAAAAGTCTGAAATTCGAAGCAATATTTCCCCTAAGAAATAATGGAAATACAATTAATCCTTTCCAGAAACCCAAAAATATTCACAAAAAAATACATTTTATAGAGATTAATTACAGTTTTACATACACACAACAAATGCTATAGTCTTTAATTATGTATAGTAATATAAAATAACATTTTTACTTACCTTTATTGAAGATTGGTGATGGCATCTGGAAGATAGGGAGGAGGAGAGAGGGAGTTGGGGTTATTGTTTGGAAGGAGAATCCCCCTCCATGAGGACTTCCGGTATCAAAGCCCTCTCTGGGGTTGCTTCCCTTCTCTGTATTTTAATGCCACTAGGACCAGCTTGAGAATCATTGGACCCCATTCTCACAAAATAACTGTCTACAGTCCTCTGTTTCTGTCTCACAAAATAACTATCCACAGTCGTCTGTTTCTGTCTCACAAAATAACTGGCCACAATCGTCTGTTTGTCTCACAAAATAACTCCACAGTTGTCTGTTTCTGTCTCACAAAATAACTGTCCACAGTTGTCTGTTTCTGTCTCACAAAATAACTGTCCACAATCGTCTGTTTGTCTCACAAAATAACTCCACAGTTGTCTGTTTCTGTCTCACAAAATAACTGTCCACAATCGTCTGTTTGTCTCACAAAATAACTCCACAGTTGTCTGTTTCTGTCTCACAAAATAACTCCACAGTCGTCTGTTTCTGTCTCACAAAATAACTGTCCACAGTTGTCTGTTTCTGTCTTACAAAATAACTGTCCACAATCGTCTGTTTGTCTCACAAAATAACTCCACAGTCATCTGTTTCTGTCTCACAAAATAACTGTCCACAGTCGTCTGTTTCTGTCTCACAAAATAACTGTCCACAGTCGTCTGTTTCTGTCTCACAAAATAACTGTCCACAGTCCTCTGTACATCCTGGCAAGCTCAACAAGTCTCACTCCAATCTCATACTTCTGTATTATTTCCTTCTTCACATCTATGGTGTTTCTCACTTTCTTTACCACAGGGGTGCTGCTAGCAAGCTTCTTTGGGCCCATGGCAGCTTATTTCACAGCCCCACAAGCACTAAACACAATTAAATAATCATAAAATGTGTGAATGAGATCGCAGGTTAGTGTTCACTCAAGCATAAACAAAGCTAGACTGCTCACGGCGCCTGCGCGGGGCCGCGGACAGAGGGGGGCCAGTGGACAGGTCCCGTACCCAGCGGTCCGATAATAGAGACACAGTTTGTCCGAGAAAATGGCCTTATTTTCGAAACGTTCGATATGTGATACGTTCGATTTTTGAGGTTCCACTGTATTTTAGTGCTTGCAAGTTATTTAAGTGCTAAATAAGCTACCATGACTCAAAGAAAGCTCCTAGTGCCAAGCCTTTGGTAAAGAAGGTGAGAAATACGATTGAATTTAAGAAAAACATCATTGAACAATATGATAGTGGCGTACGTGTGGGCGAACTGGCCAGGATGTATAACAAATCCCGTACAACCATATCTTCCATCATAGCCAAGAAAAAGGAAATCAAGGACGCTGTTGTTGCAAAGGGGGTAAATATGCTGACAAAAATGAGATCACCAGTACTCGAAGATGTTGAGAAGTTATTATTGGTGTGGATAAATGAGAAACAATTAGCAGGAGGTAGTGTTATGACGTCGTTTATTTGTGAAAAGGCTAGGCAGTTGCATGACGATTTGGTAAAGAAATTGCCTGCAACTAGTGGTGATGTGAGTGAATTTAAGGCCAGCAAAGTTTTAAAGAGACGCCAGAAACAGAGCTCTCTGGACAGTTTTTTTGTGAGACAAGACTCCAGTGACTCTCAAGGTGGTCCTAGTGGCATTAAGAAACAGAGAAGAGAAGTAACCCTGGAAAAGCAATTGGTACCCGAGGTGTTGACGGAAGGGGATTCCCCTTCCAAACAGTAAATCATCCAATCTGTCTCCTTCTCCAATCTTCCATACATAAAGAAGAATCGCCAATAAAGGTAAGTGTTATTCTGTTAATGTTTAATTCATCATGTGCCATGTATTGTTTATGTACTACATCTATATTTCATGTAAAAAAATTTTTTTGTTTTAATACTTCTGGGTGTCAGGAATGGATTAATTGAATTTACATTATTTCTTATGGGGAAAATTGATTCGTAAATCGTCCATTTTGATAATAGTCCCACTTCCAGGAACGGATTATGGACGATTATTGAGGGACCACTGTAATTGCAAAGTTAGTGATCTGGGCACAATTTATGCATTAGTTATTTCACCCACTTTAAAGCCCTATTTTTGGCCAATTCCCAATTTTTAGCTATTTCACTAGAATGCCTTTCATTCTATTGATTGAGCATAAGAAATCATGCATTTTACTATCAAAATTACCCTATAAAGTGCACAGATTTGATATTTTTTGGTTTTACATAAAGCTGAAAAAATTTCAGTTTAACCCTTTAGCTGTAGGATAACTAGGTAGTAGGTAAGTAGACAGCAACCACCCAGGGAGGTACTACCATCCTGCCAGGTGAGTGTAAAACGGAAACCTGTAATTATTTTACATGATGGTAGGATTGTTGGTGTCTTTTTTTCTGTCTTGTAAACATTCAAGGTTTCAGGTATGTCTTGCTGCTTCTACTTAAACTTAGGTCACACTACACATGCATGCACAAGCATGTATACAGTAGATCGTTATATTACATGGTAGCTGCATTCTAGAAAGTGCCGTGTTAGGTAAATCTGTGTTAGATAAACTGAAGAATGGTAAGCTTTGGTTTACTTCCATTCGAAGGTTTCTTGTTTTTTTTTTTTCAGTTTTATTTGTGAGTGGCCTGTGATGACCAAAGTATGGTTGCAATTACATATACAGTGGATCCCCCATAAAGCTATTTAATCCGTTTTCATAGAAGCTCATTATGTTGATGCTAGAAATATGCATTTCGAATGAAATATTCCCATAAGAAATAATGGAAAAACAAATTATCCGTTAAGACCCAAAAGTATGGAAAATAAAATTTATACACACACAATATACATTCCTACACAGTAGTGAAAAGGAAACGATACATTTACATATTAGTAGGGAGTAGTACATTCAGCAGTATGTTTGTGCTTTAATACGCTAGTCACATACAATGAGACATGTAAATGACACTTTACTACATTTGGTAGTGCATTCAGAAATGACGTGATAGTACATCTGTTAGTCCTGGAGTGCCTTTGTTTCCTTCCTGAGTTCTGTAGTCTTTTTTTAGCATTTTTTCCAAACAGCTATTCACACTGTGATGCCAAACGATTGTCAAATCTTCAATACAGCCTTCGCATGCTATTAAATTCACGCATTATGAGACTATGTTCCAGCGATTATCATTATGCCTGTTTCACCCGGGTTTAGTGAACATGGAATGCAAATTCATCCTGGAGACAAGATAGGACCCCAAGTATGAAAAAATTAAGAGTTCCTCGATGAATGCACTGACTTCTTGGTTACACAGGGAGGATAACCCTGGTAGTAGTTCTCCGTATATTGTTCAGTAGCACCCAACAAACGACTCGCATGACACATCTTCGAGAAATACAGCATGGTGATGAGCACACCAGTCTGTGAGTGCACTCAGTCTGTAGGTCGTTTAGCAGCTTGTGGTGCAGCAACAGGCTGACATGGTACCATAATTTTATCAACAGACCTTTGTGGCAGTCAGCAATATGACCTGTGTTCATGTATTTTCCTGTTCACCTTTTAGCAATGGTTGGTCACCTAGGAAGCTTTCTGTGGCCCAATGGTGGTTATTTAGCAGTTACAAGCACTATAAATGGAATGGAGACATAATACAGAAATGTCTCGAATGTTTGCAGTGCACACCACACACCGCCATGGCTTCGTAAAATAGCTGCAAGGAGGGAGCTCAGGCTGACGGACAGGTTGCAGGACGATGTCGGCGAGTCATGTTCAGAACAGCTGATGGTGCACAGCAGCTTGACCGTGGTGCAGCACAGCTGACTGATCCGCAACAGCTGACTGGTCCAGCAACAGCTGACTGATCCAGCAATAGCTGACTGTATCCACACACAGGCTTGGTCCAGCAACTTTGCTGGCTTATCTAGCAACAGCTTACTGAATCCAGCAACAGTCGATGAGCATGCAACAGGCCGACTGGTCTTGAAACAAGTGACGGATCAAGCAACGGCTGGACTGATTCAGACAATCAGCTGGACTGAGTCAGTCAAAACAGCTGACTGATCCAACAACAGCTGACCGTGATGCCAGCAAAGCTGACTGGTCCAGCAACAGTGACTGATCCAGCAACAGCTGACTGATCCAGCAACAGCTGACTGATCCAGCAACAGCTGACTGGTCCAGCAACAGCTGATCGTGGTGCAGCAGCAGCTGACTGATCCAGCAACAGCTGACTGGTCCAGCAACAGCTGATCGTGGTGCAGCAGCAGCTGACTGATTCAGCAACAGCTGACTGATCCAGCAACAGCTGACTGATCCAGCAACAGCTGACTGATCCAGCAACAGCTGACTGATCCAGCAATAGCTGACTGGTCCAGCAACAGCTGACTGATCCAGCAACAGCTGACTGATCCAGCAACAGCTGACTGATCCAGCAACAGCTGACTGTCCAGCAACAGCTGACTGATCCAGCAGACAGCTGACTGATCCAGCAACAGTTGACTGGTCCAGCAACAGCTGATCGTGGTGCAGCAGCAGCTGACTGATCCAGCAACAGCTGACTGGTCCAGCAACAGCTGATCGTGGTGCAGCAGCAGCTGACTGATTCAGCAACAGCTGACTGGTCCAGCAACAGCTGACTGATCC